TCTAGGTTCCTAATAAAATGTGATGTTTTTATCAAGGCAAGAAATAGAAAGGAGCTAAGATATTGATATGTGGCAGGAATAGAAAAAGAAGATAGTAAACTGTACATTATATGGACCAACAAATTCTAACACCCTGTTGAAAAGGCAATGCACTATACTGTAACCAAAATGTAAATTGTCCATTTGCAATCAATTTTCCTTGATTTTTAGATACACTGGTGATGAGACTCAATGCTACTGATGCAGATGAACCAAATAATTTGAACTCAAAAATAGCTTTCAAGATCATAAGACAGGAACCTTCTGATTCACCAATGTTTATTATCAACAGATATACTGGAGAAATTCGAACAATGAATAATTTTCTAGACAGAGAGGTAATTTCTTTCTTTAAATGGGTTTTTAGTCTCAAAGTAACTGATTCTAAAAACAAGTGTGCCTAAGAGAGAAAGAGAGAAATGAAATAATGCTTTTAAATTTTAACTATATAAACTTTTCACATAATGGTAATTATCTTTAAAGATCATATTAAGAAATATCTTAAAAATGAAAACATAGGGATTCCTCAACTTCATTTTATATTGACATTTTTCATTTAATCAGTTAGAATTTGTCTCAATTTAAGAACACCATATTGTAAAAGTACATCAAATATGCATAATGTAGAGGAAACAGCTTCATTTTTTATAAAAAGGTGTGTTCTATAATGAAGTAAATTTAAGAAACGCTTGCAATATGTCCCTATTTAGTCGTAATGCATGTGATCGTGGTAGAGGCTCCAAGAATATTTACAGACTAAGAAACTTGCTTATGTTTCTTTAACCCAGCATATCCTAAGCTCCTTTGACAACAGAACTCTTTTTTTTTTTCTTTCTGTATAATGCCTATTGATAGCCCACCTATTCATTTACCTTGGGAAATGAATCACAAGGCCAGTATGATGGATAGGAGTTAAATAACATCCAGTCCAATCTTATTTACAAATTAGAAAATAACCAGTGATTGTTAACGGTAAAATCAGCGTGATGTGATTTCTACCATGCCATGTGGTCCCATGATGTAGATTAAAAAATCTACATTTTATTTTTTTACATATTGCCTTTAAATAGAATGTAACTGACCTGTGTGTACATTAAGGATATAAATGATAAAGTTTTATTTTCTAATTCGTTCTAAATCAATTTTTTTAATTATTATACTTATTTTAAAATGACAATCTCCCTGCTAATGATTCCTAGGTTTAGAATAAATTACATTTTTTACAGTCTTTAATGATGCAAATGTTATCAGTTTCTAGGTTACCTAAATCTCCTTTTTTTGCTTGTTTGAAAATTACCATTAGAAGAAATTGACTATTAAGCTTTTTCTCTCTCAAACTTTCTTAAACAGCCCAATGGAATTCCTTTAATGTCAAAAGAGCTTTAGTGGTAAAGAGCTCTAAGAAAAGAATGTTAAAAGTGAAAAAAAAAAAAAAATTCTGCAGTCATTGGGAAGCTCCCAGAGAAGATATTCTTATCATGGTGTCCATGGAGAGACCTCAAGATGTCTCTAACTATTAATCCTCTAAAATTCTACCCATAATGTTGAATAAGTACTCATTTATGCATGAGTCTAGAAGACTCCATAGCTTTTATCAGCTTCTAAACTATGCACTATTGAACACTTATATCATAAATAACTCCATTGCCAAAACACGCCACCTTCTAAAAATACAGACCATTTCTTATCTCTTTATTCTAGCACACTCAGGGGCTGATCGCTTATGGTATGGAATTTTCATGCCATGAATTTGTGGTAAACCTTAATTTCTTTCCTATTGGTTAATCTGGTTCATTTCACCCTTTAAAAACTTTTCCAACCTCTGGACATACTATGATTAATAATGAATGAGGTCTTCTTTTTAATGTTGCTTTTTTTAAGTGATGCTGGATAAGCATTGTTTGGAATGGAAGTGACGACTTTCATATTGATTCATGTGAGATTCATGGATTTTCAATATTGTGTCTCACTCTTATCATAGATTTATGTAAATGTTGAACAGCACTTCAAATAACTTTGCATAACACAGAGGAAAGACTGTCTATGTTAACTGTGACATTGCTTGCAATGTGTATTTTTAGCAATATGGCCAGTATTCTCTTGCTGTAAGAGGCTCAGACCGAGACGGCGGGGCAGACGGCATGTCAGCAGAGTGCGAATGCAGCATTAAAATCCTTGATGTCAATGATAACATCCCATATATGGATCAGCCTTCAGTGAGTATTTATTCTCAAAATTAATAACTTTAAATTTTTTGCATTCTAAATTTTTTAGGAATAAATCTGTTTACAGATATACATGCTATGTTTAGTAACATAAAACCAAACTGTAGACACATACCTTTTTCTTGTGTTTGCTTATATAATAGGAAATAAATGGATTTAAACAATGAAAAGGGAGATCATTAACACATAACTTTTCTAAATACTGAATA